CCTGGAGAATGTAAAATTGGTATCATGCCTGGTCACATTCACAAGAAGGGAAGAATTGGTGAGTTTTTGAATATTTATGCATCATTTAAAACTGAAGTTTGGTATTCTAGTGTTCATATTCATGAGGCTAGTTACACCCTGCCCTGAAGACAGTTGACATGCTGTATAACAGCTTGTCTGTCCTTCATTTTGGAAGTGAACTTTGCCATTATCAATCATGAAGGCCAAAATCAGTCAATCTACCATAGCACGCACTGAGTACTGATGGTAGAGGCAAAGCAATTGGAAGTTTCGTTAAGTAATGTGATTGACTTCCCTTCCTTAACACTCTCCTTTGAGGATACCTCCATTTATCTTGGGATTTGAGAGCACTAAGCTCTCCAACACTATTCCTTCCAGCAGCTTGGCTCCTGAGGACTAGGATCCTACACTTATAGCAAGCTCGGTATTATAGCAAAGAGAAGAGATTACAGGCAAATTTATGTCCTGATAATTTATACAATTATACCATGGTGAGTGGAAGTGAAAAATATACCCACTTCTCAAACAGCAGAATTAAGATCAGAAAGGCAGTGACTTGTTTATAATCATATGTCAGTTACACACTCTGTTGTATACAAGTCTCTTGTCCTGACTTCTGTTGGTTCCTTGTTCTGAATTATAGAAATAACAACTTGATTATTTTTAAAATAACGCAATTCAGGAGCTATAGAGAAAATTCTTCCAAAATATGCATTTGTACTTAAATAGAGCTTCAGAAATGTTGTAGACAGCATATGCTGCTGTTACCTGTTAGTGGGGTAACTAGTTTAACTTCGGCACAGTACCCTTTGCAACATTATCATTTTTTTTTTTTTGATGAAAAGTGTGTTTAGTGTGGGAAAATCTGTTCAGTGCTCTTGAACTACGTGGACTCAGTGTAATTTTTCTAACACAAGAAACTGTCTCTGCTACTTAACCACTTCTGACTTGAGAATAAGCTGCACCTAGTGAATACCGGAGGATGCGTTAACATTCGTGTCACACCTCCAGCTTTCAAAAGTGCCTATAAACCTGAAATTGAAATATCAGATAAGTGCAATTATGCCCCTTGTAGATACCATCAAGACATTGCTCTATGACTGTAAAAGGTAGCATCAACTGATGTTGTCCTGAGCTCCCTTCTGAATCAAAGTTCTGTTAAGATTTTCTAAGTGTCTACAAGTCCAGTGAAGTTCCTAGTAACTAGAAAAGGGGAAACACAACCCTCGTTTTTAAAAAGGGAAGAAAGGAAGGAAGACCTGGGGAACTACAGGCCAGTCAGTCTCACCTCTGTGCCTGACAAGATCATGGAGCAGATCCTCCTGGAAACTGTGCTAAGGCACGTGGCAAATAAGGAGGTGACTGATGACAGCCAGCATGGCTTCACTAAGGGCAAATCGTGCCTGACAAATTTTGTGGCCTTCTAAGGCGTGGTTACAGTGTTGATGGATAAGAGAAGAGCAACAGACGTCATCTACCTGGACTTGGACAAAGCATTTGACACTGTCCCACATGACATCCTTGTCTCTAAATTGGAGAGACATGGATTTGACAGATAGACCACTCAGTGGATAAGGAATTGGCTAGATGGTCGCACTCAAAGAGTTGCTGTCAATGACTCAATGTCCAGGTGGAGACCGGTGACAAGCGACATTCCTCAGGAATTGTTATTGGGACCGGCGCTGTTTAACATCTTTGTCGGTGACATGGACAGTGGGATTGAGTGCACCCTCAGCAAGTTTGCCGACAACACCAAGCTGTGTGGTGTGGTCCACACGCTGGAGGAAGGGGACAGAGGGACCTGGACAGGTTTGAGAGGTG